GCGGCTGGAATTGCATTGAAAGTTCTCTGCCGTCCTCAAACATGGCCAAGTCACTGCAACACCGGGAAAACCCATTACCCAAAAATGAGCTGTAAACAGGATCCTTAGCTTTGTATAAGCTTATGCTATGTCGAGCCCTTAACCCGAAACCCCTAAACCCTCCCTACACTTTAAGCAAAGACTGGGTCTGTGGCAGCAGTGGCTTGGACACGGCCGTCACCAAGTCCCGGCCGACTTCGGAGACATTCGCCTTGACAGTCTAGGGTTTATAGAGTTTTAGGGCTTCAAGGGTTTAGGTGTTTAAAGTTTCGGGCTTCGGGCCTAAACCCCCCAAACCCAAAGCCCCAGCACCCCTTAAGCCAGTCCCTAAGGATCCAAGTAGCTAATCGCCATATACTCTCCCGAACACTAACCCACATAACGACTATCCGAAACCCAAGTACCTACTTATTGGGTCCTTTGGACCCTGAGGGTAAGTCCGGAGCGGCCTCGAAAGCTGCCATCAGCGTCTGACGGAGGTCATTGGCGGATATCAGCCTGACATGTGGGACTCTGGAGTTCCGGGCTTCTGGGTTTTTACGGCTCTGGGCTTCTGGGGCCTAGGGTTAAACGGCTAATTCGGGTTGAGACTGGGGCTTGAGGTATCTTGGAGCAGCTGCATGTTCTCTGACTTAGGCATTCCGGCGCTCTGATGGGGTACTGAGGGTTGATCTTGGGATGGGTTTTGGCAAGGAGGTTGGAGTTCCGGAGCCCTGAATAAATGCCCCAAGAAACCCCTTAGCTTGGGCAAAAAGGGGTTCGCTGTTCAGCGTACCGGGTTTAGAGGGCTTGTGGGGTTTGATAAGATCATACACCATACACAATATGCAATATTATACCCAGGGGATTATGAAGTATTCTACTCCCACTCCAATGTTGATTCGGGTTAGTCCGTCGTCCGGCGGTTCCGGGGGGTGTCATGCGATTGGAGCTCCTACCGGCCATGTAGCAAAAACTGTCGGAATGCCAGCCCCTGGCCCTGAATCATAAAGTTTTGGGGCCGGTTTAGGGCTTAAGTTAAGGTCGTGCAAGTTGCTCACAGGAAAAGGAGGCAGAAGGACTCTATAATGCAATCATGTCGCACAGAGCCAAGCTTGCAGTTCCCGCGCTTCTACTTGCATCACAAACCATCCCCCTCCCACCCCATAAATCCCAAACGCCCAAATCCTTGGAGTCTATACTATAATTCTAATAAGGAACCCCCAAAGTAGTATAGGTAGTTATTATAGGGCCCCTATAGTACTCCCACAGACTAGTTTGAGCCCAGCCGCTCTCGCTGAAGCTCCGTTTGGAGTGACCTGGGACATGTTGAGCTACATCCGGCAAAGCCATGAAAACATGCCTCACTGAACACATGGGTTTAGGGTCTAGGGTCCCTGACGACATGGGGATTGCTGACTACAAACAAGAGGGTTTAGGGGTTTGAGATTCAAATCATGCCTCTGATAAGCAGCACCGGGTCCGTTTGTTTGCCGGAAACATAGCGAATTGATATGAAGCAAGCGGCAGCTTTAAGCTTTGTCACGAGACCGCTTGTTTCCAGCGCTACAGTCTCGACGACGTAGCCATTTTTTGCAAGCCCCAGCGCCGAATTCCTACTCAACCCCATAAACCCAACCCTAAACTCCGACCCTTATAAAACCCTAAAGCAGCCCCTGCAGCTGCCGTCGAGAGGCTCTGTCTTGTCCTCCATGTTCCGGCTGAGACGAAACAAGCGCTCGCTGCACACCTGCGGCTTGGAACCTACCACAACCATAAAGCATAAACTTATAACACTTTCGTTCCACAGCATCTCTGTACACGTGTATAGTACCTGAACCTACAACCCTGATGAACGACAAGTCGACATCGTCGAAGGGCTGCCGAGCTCCTTGCATTCCCTAGGCCCTCCTGGATTCAGGGTTCAGGGTTTCTGATGTACCCGAAACCCTAAATCAAACTCTAAACGACTGACCCAAGAGGCTGCCTGGAAGGCAGTCAGCTCCGATGAGAGGACGACGGTGCGAAGCCGATCTGCTTCAACGGTGGCTGCCTGAGAATTCTCCCGAAAACTGATGCAAAGGACTCGTTATCTCCGTGGAGGTGGCTTCTGGATAGAATTGGGTGTAACATGCATTGGTGCTTGATGGACGGCGCAATGTGAGGTTTGCGTGTGGTTCTCTGTTGATCAGATGTAATCTGTTTCATACATGCCAATGCCTCTGTAGGGTCCAAGAAGTGAAACAGCACGCACTTCTGCACCAAAGGAGTTCGTCCTCGATACCTTGAGGGGTCACATATAATTGTACATATATATATATATACACATGCACATACACATACACGTCTTCATATACATGTACGTAACAAATTTCAAACATATATACATGTACAAACGCATATGCTGACATGTTTCATATATATATATATATAATATGTACACCCCCCCAAACTTTAAACAAAAACAGTTCTAGCCAACCCCCCATACAATGACCCAGCTGTAAGCAAACCTGGCGAACCCGTATACTGCACACCTTAAGCTTCAAACATGTCGGATTAATCCAATAATTTTACTACTATTAGAATTGCTGACATTATGTTTTTGATCTTATTGTGATTCCTACCGCATATATATATATATATATATTATGTGTGTGTGTATACGTACGTACGTA